CCCGGAGAGTGCTTGTAGCGCTATGAGGCGGTATATAAGTCCAATAAATAAATAAATAAATAATAAATAATAGTTTATCCTGTTTATTTCTCCTCGGAACTTGGAAAGCACTCCCATGATCCTCTCTTCTGGCTGAGGAGGATCGTGGGAGCTGTCACACCAAAAAAGTCAGTTTTACAAGTTCTGCTCATTCTGCATCACTTTTTGAGTTATAGTCTCTGAGTTGGGACTTACCTCAAACTGAAGAGAGAATTTGTAATCGGAATCTTTAGCCATATCCTTGATGTAGCTGTCAAAGTCATCCAGCTGGACTGGGCTTTGAAACAAATAAGATTTTTTTTTTTGGTTAAATTTAAAAAAAATGGACTTTGTGTATCATTCACTTAATCTACCACCTAATAATCATCCAGCGGAAGTGAAAAACAGTGCTTTTTGTCCAGATCCAATGGAATTGGTTTCAAATAGGTGAAGGTCTATAACAAGCATAACATACAGATACAAAACCAGAATGGACTTCTTTCCTACATTCTGTTCTATGGCATCAGCTCTTCAACCAAACTGAGCTCATAAGGAGTATGATGATGGCACAAGCAACAGAAATTGGAGTGAAAGTAAAAATAAGCATGAACTATTCACAGATGCCAGGTCACAATCCATCATGAACCTACGCAGGAGGTCTATATTCCTGCCTTGTGCATAGAGAAATACAAAACTAAGCTCCAGTGGCAAACAGCCACCAGTCCACCTGCAGCAAACTTCTTATATCTGCGAAGAACATGCCAGAGATCCGGATAGCATTTCCTGGCGTCACCACTACCCCCAGTTGAGGCTCTAGTCTGTTTCACTTATCTACTCTGAGAATCTCAAAGCTAAAATTTTTAGCTAAGCAAATATGTACAATACATTTGGATTTTTATCCCAGGGCTGAGTGTGCATAGGTTCTAAGAGAATGCCGGCCACAGGAGCACAACCCTTTGCTATTATGACAACAGCATTAGAGAGAGTAAGCCTTCTTTCGCTTTGCTGTGTTTTCTCCATCCTTTACTCACCACTAGAGATTGGGGTATTTGCATTTGTATACAAATATCCCCCCCACAGGTGGAGATAACGAGGGTCTGGCCCCATAGGGGTCCACTCACACTGCTGCCGCAACCACCACGGGGCCTTCCAATGGTCCGGAGATCACGTTTGGCTCGCCACTCCTGGCAGGAGACAGGACGACAAGCCGCTCAGCTAGGTCAAAGAGTGGCTCGCCAAACGCCATCTCTGAAGCCACTGGAAGGCTCCATGGCAGTCGCAGATAACGAGATAATCCTCGCTATCTCCAACTATGGCGGGATATTCGTTACCGTATACAAATACAAATACCCCACCTCTAATTTATTTATTCATTAGATTTATATCCCGCCCTTCTACTCACCACCATGTTTAATAAAGCTACACCAGTGGCTTGCATTCTCCTCAACTACCTTTGAATCTGATTGATGGAGGTGGTGAATGGATCAGACTTCAGATATAGATAAGATCCTTTTCCTGAATCATTCTTCACTTGCAACCATCCCGTGACACAGATTAACTCATAGATCTGGTAGATGGCCTTCTAGCCTTTACAGCACACTGGCTCTCTTTCTACTATGAGGGATGGCAATCTCAAGAGGTGAAAAATGTCCGTTCTCACACAGGATTTCCCCTTCTTCTGTTTCTTGGATTCAGTGTGCTTTGCTTTGTGATTGGCCATCGGAAGGTAAACATGGGCTTAATTTGAAAGTCTAATTGTTGAGGCATCTATCTTTGACAAATTTCTGTTATGGGAGAGAAATGGGTTAGATATTGGGGACACGTGTTCCCTTTAATACCTAGTCTGATCTTAACTTGATCTAGACAGATCTATTATTTTGCACCGGCCATTTATTGTGGTCTATGGGGTGAGGACAACTGTGGTGGGTTTGGGGTCACACCCACCACACTCTGATCCCACCTGCCCAACCACCGTGGGCTGCACTGCTTCCTTCTGTGGAATCACAGGCTATGCAATCTGGGCAAAGGTAGCTTTAAACCCACACACCTGTAGGCTGACAAAGCCCGTCTTACATCTCAGTCATTCCTCTCAATGAAGCTCAGTGGGATTAATTTTAAATGGATCCGGGCCATTGTGTAACTGTGCCTTAATTTGTTACCATTCTAGCCCAAATAATGAAGAAGAGGCAAATACTTTCTCTTGCCTCATTATCATCGTCTAATTTGCAAATACTGAATCAGGTACATACATTTTTCCTCATTTCCTTGAAGCAACATACCCCAAGGAACTTGTCTCTTATCAACAGTTAATTACTCCTGTTTACCTGTTAGCATTAATGATCCAGTGTATAATTAGCAAGTGTTGCTGACAGGGGGGGAATGGCAGTGACAACAGATAATGTTCCCGAGGTTTTCCTCATTTTGTGATTGCTAACGAAACGCAAGCCCTGTTGGAATCGTTAACTAGAGATAATGGATTTTTCCCCAGTGACTAATTTTCTACGAGCCAGGGAGATGTTTATCATGCAATATCTCCCGTGAAGATTACACAGAAATGCACCATTTATTTTGCTTCAATGTCATTGTCGGGGGCAGATCCAGATTTTAGAGGGCAAGATACGCAGGGCCAGCTCAGGAACGGGAAAGCGCTCACAACAGAGTACTTTCCAATGCGTACATAAACACACACAGAGAGAGCTGAATTTCTCTCAGCTTCATTTCCAAAATGCACTATTCTACATATCGCATATTCCTAAGTCCCACAATGTTGTGGGTTAAAAAATTGTTGGTGCCACAAAACAGTGATGGCTACCAAGGAGAGGCTCAGCCGCTGGTGTCACCAAGCATCAAGGGCATCTAGAGTTAGCTCAAGACAGCCTCAGAGAGCATCTCCTTTCCTTTCCTGACATTGTCCATAGTGGTTACTCGTGCTCCTCCTGATCACTTGGGCTGAGAGAATTGAGAGAGGGAGGGAAGAGGAACCCATAGCTGCTCTTCCATCTCCTTACTGGAATGGGAAAAATGACAGGGGGGAGGAAGGGACTGAGTTTTGGGTCTCTTTACAATGGTGAGCCTTGGCATTTGTTGTTGTTGTTCCAACTTATATACCACCCCATAGTGATAGAGCACACTAACATAACATAATTATGCAAAAAACAACTTGCCCCCACCCAACAAGCTGGGTACTTATTTTACTGACCTTGGAAGGATGGAAAACTGAATCAACCTTGATGATCAAGCTACCTGAACCTGTTCGGATCAAACTCAAGTTGTGAGCACACCCAACTAAACTAACTTTTGACCCAGTTCTGATCATTGCTTTCAGAAGAGCACAATACACAGCATTTTTTTCAGGAATCTCTTGCCAAGAAAACTCCAGTGGTTTCCCCCAATTTCATTCCATTCATACTCAGCAAAGCAGAGGAAGTAACACAAAACAGCAGCTACAACAAGAAAAAACTCAGACATATGATTTCACTTCCCTTCTCCTTAAGAAGTGCTTAAAATATGGGAAATGATGACGAATGGGGGAAGAAAATTTTGAAACATAACAGTGCCTGCCTCTTGCTGAAAAAGCTGTGGGTGATGACACTAAACTATTAAGTGATTTCTTTGGTTATAACAACAATGGCCTGAAATATAACAACCCAACTGTATGTTATGTTACATATTGTCCTGCCTGAGACAAATATCAACTTTGGGTGGGGAAAGAAGAAAGTTTAATTGGAACCATGGTAAAAGGTTAACATCCCTTTTCATAAGATGCTGTCCCAGTCCTTCTCGGGCCAGCCTCCAGATCATATTTAAGTAACTAAAACTGTGTTAAATCTGAATATTAAAGGAACCACAATATGCATATACCTCCACTTATTATATTACATCCAGTTTGATCCTA